TAGTTGTATGTCGTAGCTGCACATCCTTCTAGTTGCTGTATGTGGGACTCGGCCTCAGGATGAACGGAGAAGTGGTGCCTCAATGCGCACCGGGGATCCGAACCCGGGCCACCAGCATCGCAGCGCGCGCACTTAACCACCAAGCCACAGGGCCGGCCCATTTTTATTCTACTTTTAATGTCTTCATTTTGATGAAATTTTGGTAGGGAAGGGAAAAAGGGTCTCCATGTCACCATTCATGTTGTACTTTCTTGGAGTGGTAATTTTGAGATCAGTCTACCATCTTGAAATGGAAGAATTTTTATTTTAAAAACCTAAAGAAATAATTCAGTAAGTGTTTGAGTGCTTCCTCTGTAACAGGTACTATATTAAAATACTGCAGATAACTATAGTCAGTGTTCTCATGAAGTGTATCTAGTATGGTTGGAAATAGAGGCAATTACAGTACTGTGTGATAGGTGCTGTGATTGGAAAAACAGATTAGATTGGAGGGTGTCAGTTTCTAGGCTGAACTCAGTTAAAACTAACTAGGCAGCAAGAGAAATGAGACCACTAGGGAATATTCCGAGTAGAAGGGACAGCATATTCAAAGGTTCAGAAGGTGAGACAGAGTATAATGTGTTTAAGGTTGTAAAAGGATATTTTTTGTTTGTTTTTGATCTTTCATTAAAAGCTGTTATTCAGTGACTAGATATGTGTGTGTATAATCTCCAAATTATTCTTGTGTTTTCTGCATCACTTCATTATTTCTTTCTTTAGCCCTCCAGTAATGAGGACAGGCATATCTGTCAAGTGTGAAATTCACTCTTTAGTTTAAACAGATCTAGAAAGATTAATGTAAACAGATGTAGCAAGATTAATGTATCATTAAAAATAGCTCTTCAGTGGCATGCCCATCTCTGGGCCCTTCCCATTTTTCTTCTGTCTTGTCACCTGTTTTACCTCCTTTTCATCCTTTAAATATCATTTAAATATTACCTTCTTTGAAAAGCTTCCCTGGGCCGGCCCCGTGGCTTGGTGGTTAAGTGAGTGCGCTCCACTGCTGGCGACCCGGGTTCGGATCCCGGGCTCGCACCGACGCGCTGCTTCTCCGGCCATGCTGAGGCTGCGTCCCACATACAGCAACTAGAAGGATGTGCAGCTATGACACACAACTATCTACTGGGGCTTTGGGGGGAAAAAATAAATAAATAAAATCTTTAAAAAAAAAAAAAAAAAAAGAAAAGCTTCCCTTATCCAATTCCTAGACAAAGGTTGGTGTTCTTGCTGTATGCTCCTGTATAGCATTATACTTCTTTATCAAAGCTGTTATCGTTAACCATACTTTGTTGTTGCTTAATTATTGGTCTGTCTGTTAGACTATAAACTACATGTGGGCAGGGATTGTATTTTGCTTATCATTATATTTCTAGCACAGTGTCCAGCACATGTTTATATCTATGAGTGAATGGAAGAGTTAATTTATTGCTATTTTTATTGGTAAGTTTTATAATGACAAGTTTCTCCAATTAGTAAATGGCTTTCAGGTTCCTCAAGAATAAGCTTTTGAATAGAAATTCAAATCAGCAGTTTTTGCCTCCTGAGAGTTTTCCTTGAGGGCAACTACCTGAAACATGCAATATTCTAATTGAGATTGAAATTAATTTACTTTTGATCATTTTAAATGCCTGCCTAAATGATACCACTTTATTGGACTCTGTCCTGATCCAAGAATAGAGAGATCATAAGTTGTTACGAGATGAACTCCAAGTACAGTGACCTGTTTTTCCCCCATGAAAACAGACCGAGTTACTAAAGTTGGTGAGATCCACGTGAAGACATTAGAAGAAATTCTTCTTGAAAGAGCCAGTCAAAAACGTGGAGAATTGCAAACTAAACTCAAGACAGAAGGACCTTCAAAAGTTGATGATTCTACTTCTGGAACAAGAAGCTCCTCCACTGTCCGAATCAAAACTTTCTCTGAGGTCCTGGCTGAAAAGAAGCATCGGCAGCAGGAAGCAGAGAGACAAAAAAGCAAAAAGGATGTAACCTGCATCAAGCTAAAGATTGATAGTGAAGTGAAAAAAACAGTAGTTTTGCCACCTATCGTTGCCAGCAAAGGACAGTCGGAGGAGCCCGCAGGTAGATGCAAGTCTATACAGGAGGTGCATATCAAGACGCTGGAGGAGATTAAACTGGAGAAGGCGCTGAGAGTGCAGCAGAGCTCTGAGAGCAGCACCAGCTCCCAGCCTCAGCCTGAGGCCGCCCCGGGGGCAAGGCGGCTTCTCCGGATCACCAAAAAAACAGGTAACAAAAGAGCTTGGTCTGTAGTACCACTTACCTAATTCATAGTTCAAGGGGCACTGTTCCATGGGTTATTCATAAGAGTTCGGTAGAACGTGTCTTCACATAGATAACTTTGAAAACCACTGGATTAAATGAAGTTAAGCTGTTTCTTTACAGCAGTGCTATGTAATATTTAGACCTTTAATATTTTAACGTGCATTTTGAAACTATGAGGACTAGTGGGCTTTATCTACAATTTTATTTGTCCTATCTTTCTTATCATTACTTTCATTAAGAAAAGTTTTGTTTAACTTCATCTGTCATGAAGTTGCAGCCTAAATGAAATAACTAATGATTTGTTTAATGCGAATATAGGTATAAAAGAAGAGAAGAAACTTGAAGAAGGAAGTGAAGTTGCTTCTCAGAGCAGTGTTACTAGAACAGAGGCTAAAGAGGTGAGTTTATTCAAAATCATTTCATAGTTTTGTTCATGGCAAGCAAAGGCTAGATGAATGGTAAAATGTGCTTTTTAAGTTTTAGCTTATAATAGATTTCTGTTTAACACTTCACTGATCTATAAGGGTAAACAGTCTTTCAGTATCGTTATCATTTTCCAAGAGTTTTCTATACTATGTATATCAGTGTTCTCTGCCCTTGTAAAGTTGTTTTTAATTGGCCATTAATATTTTTTAAATTGTTTTTTTTCTTGCCTTTGGGAATAACGCCACTGGTTGTACAAAACTTGGGAATTGTTATTTACAACCTAGATATAACCACCATTAGTTTTTTTCATGGATTTCCTTCAAGCCTTTTGTTTATATACACATGTATGTGAATTTGTTTAATGTTTAACTCATATTTAGAACATAACTGAGAACTCTACAGTGTATCATTTTGCAGCCTGTTTTTTTTTTTTTTTTTGACTTTTTTTATTGTTTTTTAATTTTTTTTATTTTTTGTGAGGAGGACCAGCCCTGAGCTAACATCCAATGCCAATCCTCCTCTTTTCTGCTGAGGAAGACTGGCCCTGGGCTAACATCCATGCCCATCTTCCTCTACTTTATATGGGATGCCGCCACAGCATGGCTTAACAAGCAGTGTGTCGGTGCGCGCCCGGGATCCGAACCCGCGAACCCCAGGCCACCGCAGCCGAGCACACGCACTTAACTGCTTGCACCACCGGGCCGGCCCCTGCAGTCTGCTTTTAACTTTACCATATTAATAATTCTTCAAGACATTTGTTTTTACTGGCCATATAGTGTTCTGTTATACAAATATAGTCTGTTTCTGAACATTTGTTTTACACAATTGTTTACACAGTTAAGATAATGAACATATGTATACATAAATCTTTGTGCAAGTGTCTGATTATTTAGGAATCATTTGTATTAGACTTAGGGTCGTCGTTGTCTAGCCTATAGACTCTGATTTTTTTATTGTTCCACACATCTTTAATCTTTCATCTTTAGCTTAATGTTTTCTGTTTAATGTCAAATAAAGAGCAAAAGGTCTTGTGTTCTGGATCACATGAAACTCTGCTTGACTTAGATGTTAGCCTGGTAACTTATAAATAGTAATTATCATACAGGTTGTTAGAATTACTTGGTTTTAATTCTGTCATTTAAATTTATTCATAGGCTTCAGATGAGACCACAGGAGTTGGCATCACTAAAATTCAAGTTAAGAGATGTGAGACCGTGAGAGAGAAGCCCATGCAGAAACAGCCGGAGAGGGGAACCTCACAGAAGGAAAAATCAGTTTTGACACCCCTTCGGGGAGATGTAGACTCTTGCAATACCCAGATAGCAGAGAAACCAGTGCTTGCTTCTGTGGCAGGCGTCACACGGCACCTGACAAAGCGGCTTCCCACAAAGTCATCCCAGAAGGTAGAAGTAGAAACCTCAGGGATTGGAGACTCAATACTAAATGTGAAATGTGCAGCACAGACTTTGGAAAAAAGGGGTAAAGGTGAGTATGTTTTCTAGTGTGTCTTTCTTTAGGATCTCAAAATTACCAAGTTTCAGTGACTTCCTGGCAGCAGTTGAGTTGAATTTCATTTGCCTTGTATTCTGGTCACGCAGATGTAATATTTCTGGTAATTCTATTTAAAAAGACAAAACTAGATGAGCTCTTCTCTCAGAATTTAAAATTTCTGTTTAAAAAGCTTTGTCTAGGGGCTGGCCCGGTGGTGTAGTGGTTAAGTGCACGCGCTCTGCTATGGTGGCCCGAGGTTCGCAAGTTCGGATCCCGGGCGTGCACCAACGCACCGCTTGTCAAGCCATGCTGTGGCAGCGTCCCATATAAAGTAGAGGAAGATGGACATGGATGTTAGCTCAGGGCTAGTCTTCCTCCCAAAAAAAAAAAAAAAGCTTTGTCTAAAACTTTCTGTGGTGCATTTTTTCTCTGGTTTTGAAGAAGAAAATCACCAGGGAATAGAAGAACGGTAGCAAATTCAGGAGCCACTGAAAGGAACCATTTGAGTAAATATCTACATTCTGGCCACTTGTAGTACAGACTGCTTATGGATCATTTTCAGTCTTTTTCTTTTTAATTATTTGTGGTATTTCTAGTACTGTGAAGGAATTTTGACATTCTCAGTTATTCTCCATGTAAAAGAGACATTATTCTAGCTATTAATCAGATATTTTCTGTCCCTTGTAGCTAAACCCAAAGTGAATGTGAAGCCATCTGTGGTTAAAGTTGTCTCATCTCCCAAATTGGCCCCAAAACGCAAGGCAGTGGAGGTCCACCCTGCTGTCATTGCAGCTGTGAAGCCCCTCAGCTCCAGCAGTGTCCTGCAGGAAAGCCCGGCCAAAAAAGCCGCTGTGGTAAGAAGCAGATCCAAGTCGATGGTGCTGCAGTCTGTGTGGTAGGAAAGAAGGGGATTCAGTCTCTACTGTTTGGGTCTGTGTGTAATCCTTCCTGCCATTTCCTAAGCATTTTAGTTGTTTAGGTTGTTCCTGTGTTTTACATTTACGGAGTGGCAAGAGGGGATTTTTTTAAAAGCTTATTTTTGGATGGTAAGATATTTTGCTTATTCATGCATTCAGCCTTTAAATTATTTATTCTTGGATTCCCAGGCTTAAAAAAAATGGTAGCCATGATTCTAAGAAGGCAGCAAAAGAAAATGAATACACTCAAATGAAAAAGCCTAACTCTCCCACTGAATTACCTTACTCTTACTTTTGTAGGCTGTTGTCCCACTCCTCTCTGAGGACAAATCAGTCACTGTGCCCGAGACAGAAAAACCTAGAGACAGGTAACACCTTGCAATTCTTTTTGACCATACTTTAGGCCACTGTTACTGTTTATGCTCTCTAGAGAATAACACTGCTAAATAACTTTAGTGACAATTTAGCCACATCTAAATAAATCTGCTAAACTTCAAATTAATTGCAAGAAAACATGATACTCAGAATGGCTATGCTCTTTTGGTGCCATTGTTTATATTTTGCCTCTATTATTTAAAAAATGTTTGTAACGCCTGTCTGAATTCTGCTTTAAAGGAGGAAGATACTTTGTGCCAAATCAATCAAACAATTCTTTGTTTATGTGTGTCCTCAGAAACAACTCTTTGCTAATAACTCTTTATGTTCCTGAGACTAGGTAGTCCAACCAGTCATTGACAAAGGGCTGTTTTCTAATAATCTTTTGGGTGTTTTTTTTCTTACAGTCTTCTGCTGCCTCCAACCCAGTCCTCTTCAGATCCCTCCCCACTGGAAGCATCTGGCCCTTCCTCATCCCAGATGGCCACGAATACTCGCCGACTCAGCTCTGCCTCAACAGGAAAACCCCCACTCTCTGTGGAGGATGATTTTGAGAAACTAATATGGGAGATTTCAGGAGGCAAATTAGAAGCTGAGATCGACCTGGATCCTGGGAAGGATGAAGATGACCTTCTGCTTGAGCTATCAGAAATGATTGATAGCTGAAGGTGATAGTAGAACATTTAAAACAAACAAAAACAAAAAACTCGCCAAAAAACTGGACTTAGTTTCATCTATTATAATATTTACCCAAGATGATCATTTCTTTAGTCTAGAATTTGCCCCAAATCATAAGTATACCTCTGAATTATCTGTATGTGTCTTGGATTTCTTTGGGTCAGATTTTTAAAGTCCCTTAATAACTATTTTGTCCATTTGATGCCATTCTTTAGCATCTTTGAGAAAGAAGTCTGTCTTACCCCTCTCTCCACAAAAAGACTGAGAGGGAGATCCAAGTGAAAGGTTGCCAGAGAACCTAGTGACTCCTTGAGGTGTTTGTCAATTTTGGCTTTTTTCTCCTTCGTTATATTATTTATGTATTGTCTTAATGTACGTAATATTACCTGAGTTTGAAAAGGATGAAGACAGCTGCTACCATTGAGGACCAAATTTCATGCTACCACTAAACAACAACAACAAATCCACTCAGTCTGTGTTAAATTGTATGTCTTTTTAAAGGTATTTGGAGATTCAACTAAGCTTTGTAGAGAGGGCTGAGCAGCTCAGGAAGCCTGTAATCTGGACATAACTTTTTGGACCTGATTTTCATGCTTCTGCTGCTCTGTAAGCCTCTGAAGAGCAATAGCTAATTTATTATTACTGTAATTTTTTAAGGCTTTAAAGTGCCTCAGGGGTCCTCTGAAACTAATTTTCCATTTCTGGGATTCCCTGGATTCTTAATAAGAGATGGTGACCTAATGATTAGAGGAATTCTTTTTAAATATGAAAGTTGTCCCTTCTCTTCTTCAGTACTTGCCTCCTTATTACAGGGATAAAAATTGGTTAATTTTTATTTCTAACTCTCCCTGCAAACTCTTCTTGCCCAGTATTTATTTGATGCCCTTTAACCACCTGAGGAGAAAAAAATGAACTTATTCAAGCTGCCAATATTTATCTATGGACTGTAGCAGTACACTGAATTGTACTGTAGTAGGGATTATTGAGATGCTCTGGGGGTGTATTGTATACCTTCCAGTTTTCTTCATTTCTGAATTGAATTTTCTTTTCTTGATGTTAGTCTCCTTCATATCACCTCAAGGTTTAGACTTGTGAAGGAATAAGTATGATCGGGATAATAGTCTTGAAAGGAGACATATTGTACATAGCTGGAAGGAAGAGGAAAGAAGGACTTTTCCATTTTTATATTTTGCTTTAGGTGGCCAGTTTTGTTTCTCATAGGGAAATCTGACCCACCTGTCATGTTGGCTCCTAAGGAACTGCTGTTGTAAGCGGCTCATCAAGAGTTGAACTTCATGTAGCCTTGTTGGGAATATGGAAAAGGAAGAAAGCCACAGGACTGCCCATTCAGTCTTGGAAAGATCTGGATGATTCTGCACAAACAAAAATGACTTGAAATTTATGTATAGACGCCTCTCTACCAATCCATCTTCAGCTGACTGAATGTTGTATTATAGCCCTTCTCCAAAGCAGGGGTGGAATGTTCTGGTTTCACCACAGATTTTCTACTTACTTCATTTATGGAATTGGCTTATAGATTCCAGGTCCCTTTTGTATATAACCTTTATTCTTTTGCTTTTTTAAAAATAATTTTGTTTGATATTTAAAGCTCTTGTATTAGTCAATGATTCGTGTTCAGCATTATTTGAACCATTTGCCATTACAGAAAGAGAAATACTTATTTGTGTTTTAAATAAAACTGGTGTAGGAAAGTCTTGATGTTGTAAGTTAAATAGCCGCCCATCACTTTAGCCTAGGATCTGCCTCAGTAGAGGCCAGTGTTGTTGGCCGTTTGTGTAAATGCCCCGATTTCACAGATATTTGGCTTTAGAAACCTTTCACAAGGACATATTGCCAAAATTACCCACAAGTATGCTCAGTTTTAGCCACAGGTTCTTTGGGTAAGTGAATATTATTATATGTGAGGATTTTTTCTGACACTGATACTTAGCTATTATCATTGTAACTCAAGTAATGCCTTTAATTTTTTAAAAGGAGAGAGGGTTTAGAAGTGATCTTAGATGTATTCAACAATTTAGAATTCTCAAGCATGAAGCATATAAAAAATTTAATTCAGGAAAGTCCAGGTTTTTCCAGTAGTGCACCCATTTTTTTTTATGGGAATACATATAAATTTGTTAGCGACCAAAGAACTTAGATTTTTCCAAATGATAGTTTAAGAAGTACAGTCATGCATTGCTTAACACTGGAGATACGTTCTGAGAAATGCATTGTTAGGAGATTTTGTCGTTGTGCGAACATCATAGAGTACACTTACACAAACCTAGATGGCATAGCCTACCACACACCTAGGCTACAAGGTACTAATCTTATGGGACCACCATAGTATATGTAGTCTGTCATTGACAGAAACGTCGTTAGGTGACATGACCATAGTCCCAACAAGTTGAATCAGGTTTTCACGAAAAGCAAAACAAATTGTGTATTCAGTTTTGAGTGATGACAGTTTTTAATTTTAACAGTAAGAAAAGGGGCCAAATGTTGCGGAGTTTAGCCATAGCCAGAAGTTTCAAGATAGTTTGCAACTCATGCGTTTGTCTCAAGATAACAATCCCTAAAGTTCTGACCTTAATCTCAAATTCCAATGGGTGCTCTCTTTGATGTGGCCAGAACTAGTTCATTTTCATCTCAACCAATCTTTGAAACCACCATAGAGATAAGACTGATGTTTAATAATTACAGGTTCAGAAATAAAGCCTGTTCTATGTTGGTCAAAGTTCTATGATCCTTTTCTAAAATAGTGGCTTCATTTTGCCAGAATATTTCTGTAATTCTTTAAAATAGTTGCTTTGAATTTGTCAATTTAGTGATAGGAACTGTGTGGTCTCCAGTTGCTGTTTAATAGGTAACACTATTTTAAAGTGGCTAACATTGAGTGCTTATTATGTACCTCTTAATTCACATATCTATTTTCACACTAAATCCTACACTGCATTGGAAGATCACTGCTTTTTATCTCCAATGTAGTGTCACAGTGTGTTCAGATTTAACAGTAAGAGTATATAGTCTTATGTGCAGTTGGATTTGATTCATTGAACCTTTCAAGAGCTCTTTTTCGTTAAATCTGATCTTCAGAAGCTGCTCAACAAATCTATGAAAGCTTCCACAACCCACACATCTGATTATGTTAATTTATTCTCCAAACTGCTTCAATTTCTTTCAATTTGCAAAATGATGTTAGTTAAGGGCATGAACAAAAAAAATACTTGACCATTTTCTTAACCTTGTATAATAAAATGGGCAAGGAATAAGCAATGACCCTAAATAGGAACAGAAGTCTGGGATTTATATTTTAAAAAATGAGTCACAAGATTTACTGAGTGAACCTATTAATAAAATATTTAGATTTAGTTGGATTTAACTGCTAAGATGTTGCAGAGTCTGAGTCCATGGCGATGAGTAAAAAGTGGATTAAAACTTGGTATTGCCCGTCTCGGGGTTTTTTGGTCTTTAGACTGTGATTTGTCCTCATTAGGAGTAAAGTGACAGCCTGTAAAGAGTAAGGGTAAACAGAGCCAAGATTCAGACTCTGAAGAAGGCAGAAAAGGAAAAATGCTCAAATTTGTTGAATGAGTGAAATAGGGAATTAGATGGATCAAGAACACTCAAAGGAGGAGGAGGAATTTCAAGGGGGAAAGAAAAGCAAAATGGATGGTGTGTATGGTTATTGAGGTCACTGATTTGGGTTGGGAGCTCAAGGATGGTGGTCAAGAAAAAGCTGTGAGGAGAAGCCATTGGCATAACAGCCACAAAATATTTTGGACTCGCATCCCTTGAAGAGGCTCAGATTAGAACATCATGAATTCTAACCATCATTAAACACTACTGGCTACGAGAGAGAGATGGTTTTAAGGCAAACCCTGCCCTTGAAATACTTAGAAAACATTTTTAAGAGAAAACTAACAAAAATGAAGTAGGTGCAAGTATTAAGTGGATGATGCTATAGAAGGAATGAGTGAGCAATCAGTGAGTTTGAGACTGGTTAGGGAAGGATTCCTTGAGGTGTCAGAGCTGGAGTTTTGTGTAGCTTAGCAAAGGAGATAATCTGAGCTGCAAACAAGGCCAAATTGAACAGATAAAGTTTGTTTTTAATGACCTCTGACCATCCCATTGGTACTCCCTCCGGGTCTCTGCCTTGTCTCATTCTTGCTCTCAACTATTCGTGGCTGAGGTATAACTGATCTTTTAAAAAAGAAAGAAGGATCTATTCTAAATGCAAATCTGAATCACTTTGCTTCATAAGACTCTCCAGTGCCGTTCCCTTCCCTCCAAAATTAAATTCAAGACCCTTAGCATAGCATGTAAGCCCTGCCTACCAGCCTCCTGTCTCGCCACTGACGCTTCATGCTCTTCACTCCAGCAAAACTACTGGCTGTTGACTTCCCTCATACGCTAATCTCTAGCCCTTTGCCTTTGTTAATGCTGTCTTCTACCTAAAAATCTCTTTCTTCTCCTCTTTTCTTTTGGCTAACTCCTACACATTCTGTGACTTCCAAGCTACCTCTCCCTACACCCTGCAATCCCTCTCCCCAAACAGGTTTGGTGCCTGTCAGCTAGGCATGTAATTTCTGTTTACTCTCACTGTTTGAAAATTGTTTATCTGTCCATCTTCCTCAGCAGAGTATCAACTCCTTGAGACAGAGACTCTTACTAAGTTATATAGTCAGCACCTAGTACAGGCCTGGCACATGGAAGGTGTATGAGTCTGCTAGGGCTGCCATAACAAAATACCACAGATTGGGTGGCTTAAACAACAGAAACTTAGTTTCCTACAGTTCTGGTGGCTAGAAGTCCAAGATCCAGGTGTTGGCAAGTTTGGTTTCTTTTGAGGCCTCTCTGGCTTGCAGATGGCTGCCTTCTCAATATCCTCAAATGGTCTTTCCTCTGCATGCATGTATCTGTGTTTTAATCTTCTATAAGGATACCAATCACCTTGGATTAGGGTCCACCCATATGACCTCATTTAACCTTAATTACCTCTTTAAGGGCGTATCTCCAAATACAGTCACATTCTAAGGTACTGGGGGGTTAGAGCTTCAACATATGAGTTTGGGGGGGTACAATTCAGCCCATAACACAAGGTATTCAATAAACATTTGCTGAGTGAATGAAAAAGTTCTTGACCCATTTCAGGGGCTGCTGATCTTTGCTAGACTGCCCCTGTCTTCCCAGCCCCATTCTTTGGTGTGCTTCTAATCAATCACAGCCATTCAGCAAGTTGTGAGGCTTCTGGATGAGACGGAAGGAACTTCAAGCTGAGAGGAAGGATGTTCTTCAATATTTGGGAGGTCTGGAGGTGACTCTTATCTCAGGGTGTACCTCTTTGGACCAGTGATTCTCCAGCCTATTTTGCAGAGACCTTGGGAGTGTCATGAAAATCTCAAATTTTACAAGAACATTATGATTAGTTGCAATAAAAAAAGGAAACAAATATTTCATAGTACTTTCCACTATTTCATGAATTTATTCAATTGGTGCTATATTCATCCACATTTCAAAATTCAAAATGTACATGAGGCTTTAGTAAAAATCCTCCCTCCTACTCCTGCCCCAGCTACTGAGTTCTCCAAAACCAATGTTGTTAGTTTCTCAGGGATTCTTCCAGAGATACTTCAGGCATATATAAGCAAGTATACTTC